GTGCGGTGGAAATGAAAGCTGTATCGGGTCCATAAACTGCACAAATTTTATTGGCTGCTTGAATGTATTTTTGCCTTTATCGTAGTAGTACTGTAAAATATGCCATATTTTATCTTTATTTTGCTCCATGTTTGCGACACTATAACTCACGAAGGACTTAACAGAAACAACAATCAATCAAACCCGTGTTAGCGCGTGAAATGAGCTTTCCAAAAAGGTATAGCGTGACCCGATGCGACGAATAAAACTAGAACTACGCGCTCTCAGCGCCAACCGCAAGACTTTTTTGACAACATAATATAATGCACTAAGGAAAAGCTTAGCGGGTGTAGTTGAACGTTTTTTACTTTCCAATTTGCATGGAACAAATACGGGGAAATTCCCTCAGGTGTTGCCAAAACTGTTTATTATTAAGTAAAAACAATACACGTAGTATGTTCGGGCGTAACCGGACATTTTACAATCACACAACTTGCAGCCAGGTAAATACCTTAAGGTACAAAACGTCAACCTGTGTATTGGAATTCAAGGTCATGTTTGTTATGTGGGGGCTAAGTAAAGTTTTTGAAAATGTGTATCAGTTTTAGGCACAAAGATACACGTTATCAGAAAAACATTGAGATATATCAATTAATGGCCGATATATGCGTTATAAAGTCAGCCGGAAGTTCGAATTTCCTTATATAAGGCATATGGGGGCTAAAGGAAATATTGAACCAATTCAACCCATTTTTGACACACAGACATACTATGTATTGGCAGGAAGGGATTCTCTCTGAATTTCAATTATATGTACATCTCACACGCCGACCGAGGTTTTCGGGTAAAAACCCGATTTTATTTTTTTTAAAAAATTAAAAGGATATTTGTTGACTGGTGTATTTGAACATCCACGTTGAAAAGAGAAAAACTAAAAAGCCCAAAGAGTCGATTATCATTTCATATGCAATGCACTTTAACAACAATACATATGCATTTAATTGCCTACACGAGTATAGCCGTCACATAATATTTTTAATACGCGGGAGCTTCCATTCACCGTGCGAGCAGTTAAGTGAAAGTAGCAGGCTTTTAGTCTTTTTCAGAAGTAAACAAGAAACGAAAGAAGTATTTTACATACGTACATATGTAAATACATATTTTACTGAAACGTCAGAATATTTCAATAGTTATAAAAGTGCAATAATTTCAGCTAATCAAAGCAATTAAAAGTATTAAAATGGATTACACAGTGAGTAAATAAACTTAGAATGTGATTAATGGAATAACAAGGCATTTACATTACATGTAATTATTGCTTCAATTAGCCAACGCCCACGGTTGTTCCCGCAGCCCCGTTTGACGCCTCAGCAGACGCACAGGCATTACGCGCCGCAATGAAAGGTTTCGGTACGGACGAGGACGAAATCATCAACATTCTTACCGCTCGTACAAATGCCCAGAGGCAACAAATCAGGGCACAATTCGAAACAGAGTTGGGCCGTGACTTAATCAAGGACTTAAAAAGTGAATTGGGTGGAAAGTTTGAAGATGTTATTTTGGCTTTAATGACACCACCAGTTGAATATTTATGTAAGCAGTTGCATAATGCCATGGCTGGCATGGGCACCGATGAGGAGACACTCGTCGAAATACTATGTACCAAAACGAATGAAGAAATGCATGAAATTGTTGCTGCTTATGAAGCAATATATGAGCGCCCGCTGGCGGAACAGATGTGTAGTGAAACCTCTGGCTTTTTCCGTCGTTTGCTGACACTTATTGTCACAGGAGTACGCGATCCCGCAGGCACCCTTGACGCGATTAAAGCGCACGAAGATGCCGAGGCTTTATATGCGGCTGGGGAAGCCAAGTTGGGCACAGATGAAGCCGTCTTCAATCGTATTATGTCGCACAACAGTTTCGCGCAATTGCGGCTCATCTTCGATGAATACAAAGAACTCTCCGGGCAGACTATTGAGCAAGCAATCAAGCATGAGATGAGTGGTGCGTTACATGATGCAATGATGGCGATTGGTAAGTGTGAAATTTCGTAAATATGACTCATTATTTTTATTTAAATATGTTACAATTCATTATAACAATGTACATTTGAATGTACTGATGTGCAGTTGAATGTGTACAGTCGCAAGCTGCCTTTTTCGCCAATCGACTTTACAACGCCATGAAAGGCATGGGAACAAATGATGACACTCTAGTTCGCATAATTGTGAGTCGTTCTGAAATCGATTTGGCGAATATTAAGGATGAATTCGAACGCATTTACAATCGTACATTATACAGTGCTGTTGTGGTAAGTAAACAAAAACGGTGGAAACAGATGATCAAAATTCTTTAATCGAATCAATCTCTTTTCAGTCAGAGACGTCTGGAGACTATAAAAAAGCCTTGACGGCACTTATTGGTGGAGCTTAGAACTCGATACCATACACTGATATTGATATCACTGAATAGGTTTTTACTTGGGGGATTACTTATCAAAAATGAAAACATCTCATTTTCGGTACCAAGCAAAATATCAGTTTTTACTGAAGTAATCTGTAGCTTTTTAACATGTATCAATGTGAAATTCTGTTTTGAGTCTCAAATATTAATTCATTAAAACTTGGAGTTACTTTTAAACTGAGTGGTTTTGTCTCTTTATTATTAAAATTGCTTATCATAGTATTGTTAATTTTTAAACTCTTTACTTGAAATACAATTTATAAGCTTTCTTTTCCTTAATCGGTAGGTAGTTCTCAATTTCATTGGGTACTGTGAAAAATGGCGGTGGTACCTGAAAAGCAATATAATTAGTATTTGTAGACATATTTTATATACATTTCTTTAAGCGCTAACATTTTTCAGCTCAGTGTATGTAGCTTCACGCTTCGTATACTCCTTAAATATATAATTATTTTCGATCTCGTAGTGAAATCGCGTATCGTGCATTTTGAGCAACACATTATCGACGCGTAGGAAATGTCTAAGTAATATGAAGAAACCCGATGGCATAACGCGCTGAAAAAAATATCAATTAATATAGTTGCCTTCCAAACCAAACTAACAACTTACAATTTTAACTGAACATGACGAAATCCCATTATCATGCAGTTCGTCTTCGAACAAGGTGAGATCATGATAAAAGAGTATTTTCTCACGTTGCATCAGTTTGAATTTATTCAATGACATATCGGAATTTTCTACACGAAATTTTTCATTTAAGGTACCTTGGTAGTCGGTAGTAAAAGTCCAATCAAATGGTTTAAATTTTTCTTCCATATGACAATCAGGTCTGCTCTCCTTCCATTCTTGAGCGCAGGCAACTTGCAGTGGCTGTTTTCCATTTTCAACCAAGCGTAATGAGTCCATCGGAAGGAATTCTAAAAGTGCGCCATCTTTGTGTTTTAGTGACAACTTATTTTTGTGGAACACCATATCGGGCAAGTGTGGCAGTTCAAGTGCATAGCGATAAGTACATAACTCACAGCAGTCATCTTCATATTGTGTGCAATTGTTATCTTGCCCCTTTTTGCAGATACTTTTAAGTATATGTGATTTGAGGTAGCTTATGTGCCAATTCTGAAAGTCAATTGTCTCACTGTCAACTGGTAAGCGGGGTACCAATTCGTCCTATAGACACATAATATTAGTAACAATATACTCTCCACTTTTGCGTAGGCACTTACCTCCATCATACTTATAATTTAATACGGATACTTTATACAATTTATGCGTTTTTGTGGTTTATAATTTGTTATTTCTGCACATGAATTATATTTTCGCTAAAGAAAATTTACAAATTTTGTTTTTGTGCTATTTTATTTTGCGCTGACATTCGCTTGCAGTCGGCAAAGCCGCTTTTTCAGAGTGTCCAGCGCTTATCAGTGGGGTAGTTAGAAAGATTGTTCAATTTGTATTTTGAAAATAAATCCATAATTATTTAAAGTAACATTTTAGATTTTGATATGACTTATAGTTCATAAATGTACATATATTTATATGCATATGTACTTTTTGAATTATTTATTATAACAAGTTCTGAACATATCAGAAACAGCTGACTAGATGCAATCAATTGTGAATTTTTACACTTTGTTTTGATCGTGGTAATCATCACCTTGTACCATGGTTTATACAATGGTGGTAATAAACATTATATTGAAGTAAAAATAATTGATAAAATAAATAAAAATAAAATAATGGTATCAAAAACTATTGACATGGAATCGAGCGATTCCGATGATGGAGATGATGAACAAATGCGTAAGTTCATGGAAGCGGCGGACATCACTTTGTTAACTAATACTATGTTTCATCAGTCCGGAAAACAAAATCCCATGAAAGAGAATATTCCTGCAAAATCGGATCGAAGCGTTTTAGAACAAAAAGGTTATTTTCTGTAAATCAACATGTATGAGTATATTTTACAGATGTTTGCAATTGTAGGTCCAAAGTCAAACCGCTATTTGCTAGAAGAACAGTTGGAAGCTAATGTAGATTTCATCGCGACAGAGTCAACACAGAAATTTCTCGGAAAAAAGCTTTCTGAGCTAATTGCGAAACATTTTGAATTTTGTAATATTGACACTCCGTCCAAAGTTCAAAAAACGAGGAGAAACCGTGTTACACTGCTCGCAGGAGCAGATTGTTATGTCAACCCCTATGAAGACTTTGAATTCGAAACGCAAGGCCCAACACAGCGGCCTACAATAAAGAGAAGAAAAGTGGATAGTGAAGAAAAGGAACAGCCGCTAGAAGAACTTCTTAATTTGGCATCAGTAACTGCTGAAGACGTCACCAGCGGAAAGCTAATTTCCGGTTGGGCGTCGAAACCCGAACGAAAAGAAAAACATTTTCACTACAAAAGTGATAGCGTTGGTACTCTGCATTTCAAACCAGTTGGAAATGAGTTCACAAAGATGCGTAATAAAAATAAGTGGAATGAAACAAAGATAAAACAAACAAAAAATTTAAGATTAGCATAACTTATATCTATCTTCCTTAATTAGGAGAAATAAACTTTAAATGACTAATAATGGCTATTTACAAATCCATTGTGCTACCAGTATATCCTGTGTGCTGTACAGACACGTGTGACTGACCCTCGAGCATGCTTAGCACTCCAACGCCACTTTGTGCACTAACACCTGTTGAATTGGGTATATCCTGCATACCGCTACTCAACACGCCGACATTAGGATCATTAGATGTTGGCATTTCAAGTATATTAAGGAAATCGCCTTCTTGAAATTCTTCCTTTTGCATACTTTGGCTCTCCTTCATTAGTTTATCATACTCCTGAAGTACACCATTGAATTCTGCAATTTCACTACGATTTCGTGCGACCAATTGATGTTTAAAATAGTTATGCACATTTGTTAACGACGCATTTGTTAAGGAATAGTATGCCTTTTCCAGGCTTTTCACTTCAACTTCATTCTCCATTTCAAGCTGTGGATTGTTGGCGTGTACTTCGCGAATCCGTTCCATAAAGTTACGCATAAATTCCTGCGCTGCATCGGCGAATAACACTAATGCCGATTCGGAAATATCTGTGAAACCACATACACGAAGTTGACCACAAACTGCCTTTCGTAAAGCAGCGCGGCATATTTTCGGGTTGATTTGAGGATAGGCCTGTGGTACACCGCGCGCGAAATTGCTTTCAATTGGCGGTATAAACCATATGGGCTTAGCAAATTTATCATCATTGATAAAATCTGCAGCATTTTCAGGTGGGAAGTCAACCTCAGGTATCATTTGACAAGGATTTAGCAAGTAATTCGATGTGCCCTATAAATACAAATTAAAATCCATAATACAAGGTATACATGTATGATATTACCGATTTGTTCGAATAGGTGTCAATAAGAGATTGCAACATTTCAGTTTGCTTCATAACTTCTATTGTTTGTGTCACCAAGGGATTTTTCACCTGCAGTTCCACCCTGAAAACGAAAAACAATATTTACATTGAGGATAAATGAAAGCAATGAGTTTTACCTTTTGTTTGTGCTGGATGGCAGTTTCTCCTGCATTTCTTCGAGTTTTGTGCGTTTTGCTGCTACAGGCACCATTTTTTCGGGTTCATTTTCCTTCACCGATGTTTCTTTTAGTTTTCCCCAAAGTTGTCGCGGCATAATTAAATAAATTTTTGTTGTGTGTTTGACGGTCTTCCCCTTTCTGTAAAGATGTCGTTCACAATCGTTTCTTTCATAATTTGTTCATTACTCCGAATAATTTTTTAACAGTTTTGAATACTTTTTATGTGAATTATTCGATTTTGTATTTAAGAACAACCATGTATGTTTTTTATATATAGACATTTTTGGGATTTGGTCACTATCGGTTAATTTTTTAATATAAGTTATATTAAATATATATATAATAAATACAAAACAATACAAAAAATGAATACGTGGTTGCAGGCGTGCAATAAAAGTCTTTGTAAATAATGGATACTATTGTGAACTTTTTAATTTTTTTCCAAATCGTGAATGACAGACCTTATCCACTTTGTACTCCGTGACACAATAAAAATTAGTTTATAATAAAAAGTATTATAAATGTATATAAATTAACATTAAAGTAAAGTGATAATTAATTTATTTGGAAGTAGTAAAATAGTTTAGTTAAAATGGATGTGTCGGCATTGCATGCACCTGTGGACTTTAATAAGGTAAATAAAGTTCGTTGCAAGCGGTACCTTTAATTTACATAAATATTAATAGTCTTTGGAGGAAATGTCGCCAGAGGAAAGGATGCGTGCCGAACACCAATTGATGCATGAAAAGCACAAAGGGCACGAGGCTATGCATTCAGAGATGGTGCTTATACTTTTCATAACCCTAATTGTGGCACAGGTTATTTTGGTGGAATGGAAAAAACGTCACTACAAATCCTACTCGGTATTTTTTATATTTGCTATGCACTTAAGTTTAGATATGAAAAATATCCTTCATTCCATTACAGGCCGTTACACTGCTTGCCATGTGGATTATACCACTAGTGATATCGATCTGTTACAATTTCATACGATTTGTTATCATTTGGACATTGTTTTCACTGCTAACGGCATTCGTTATCAAAAAAGCAGTTAGTAAACCAATACAGCGCACGACTCCGAGGTAATGTAGTTCCGAACCATGGTGGTTTGTCACTAAATATGTTATTTTTCAATTTTTGCAGATTAGTGTACAAATGGTTTTTACTAATATATCAAATTAGTTATTTTTTGGGTATTGGAGGCTATATTGTGATGATGGCTACATTTGTAGGCTTCAATTTTATATTTAATCAAGGACCTAACGTTTGGATGGACGCAGGATTGATGCTTGTTTTCTACGGTCTCTATATTGGTGTACTAGGTCGCGACATATCGGAAATTTGTTCTGAAAAAATGGCGGTACACATAGGGGTAAACTCGCGAATTTTTCATTTATGTGCATAAAATTAATTACAATAGTGCATATCTTTAGTATTACACACCGCAAGGCATTCCGACCCGCCACCTGGACAACAACGTTTGCGCAATTTGCGGGAATCAACTGTTGGTTGGCGTGAAGGAAGAGGGTATCTTTGAAAATACTTATAAATTATCCTGCAATCATATATTTCATGAATTCTGTATTCGTGGCTGGTGTATAGTGGGTAAAAAACAGACCTGCCCTTACTGTAAGGAAAAGGTTGATCTGAAAAAGATGTTTTGCAATCCGTAAGCCAAATTTGTGAGAAAACTATTTTATTGATGTAAATTTGTAATTTCATTACAGTTGGGAAAGACCGCATGTACTTTATGGACGTTTATTAGATTGGATTAGATGGCTGGTGGCTTGGCAACCACTTATTTTCTTCATTGTACAAGGCATTAATTGGGCATTGGGCTTAGAATAGAACTCTTCTAGTCATAACTTGAATCAAAGTAAATCACAGTAAAATAAATCAATTAATACAACATCAAAATCACGTTACTGTATTGTAGTAAAGTAATAGCATGTAGTTCCGTTGGGTTTGTATTGTCCTATAATTCCAGAACCCTAATAACGAGTTATATGCAATGCTACGGTACGCGTATAAAAACTGAACTGCCTAGAAAAAAATTATTTTTTTAGGGAAATACTTCAGTGGATTATTAAGTAAAACATAGTTAATTTAGTATTAGTATATATGTAAAAAACTTATTTATTCTTTATTTACATTATGCAATATTATATTGTCACCTTAATTACTTAAAGATATTCTGCAGCGCAGCATATACGGCTTCGCATAATTTATTACAATCTTCTATATTTAAGTGTGTATGTATGTATGTTTAGTAGTAGTATAATAAATATTCCAATTTCTTACGACATTAATACATACATATGTATAATGAAACGCATTTTTACCGATACGCGCACAATAATAGATCCGCATAAACCGTAAAAATATGCGTTAAATTAGTTTTTTTTTTTTTAGATAGTCGAAAAAACAGCCCTTGGTCGGATGAAATCCGACTCAATTCCGGTACGTAGAACCGGCTGACGTGGTAATTGCTTTAAATTAATCACTTCCGCTGCCTGACCGGGTTTATCTGACGCTACTCGCTACTCCTGACCATCATTTGCAATGATTTTTTCACGGTTTTTTTTCTTTAAAAATATAATTTTCCAGTTGATAGCATGCATATAAGACAAAATAGATGTAATATTGTTAGCAGTCGTATAATACAGAATATTCAATGTGAAATAAATCAAAAATATTTTTTTCGTACTTATGTATTGTATGTTTTGAAAACGTATTGAACTTTGTAAGAACGTTCTAATATTCCGATCACTTGAGAAACTCATGTAAGCTTGCAACAACAGCGGCGACGCCTATAAAACACTTTATATGAGTACACTAAGGTTCCACAAAAGAAACTAATAACCAGAAGCACCGATCATGCTACGGATTTGTTCAAATGACAGCCAGAAAGTTAATGACCATGGTGCCATACGTATCCAGCAAGGTAAGAAGCCTTTATACAGTGCAGCGAAACCTTCCTTATTCACTGTCTGACGCAGACAATCGATGGAGCCTTTATAGAGTAGACCCCTAAAAATATACATATATACATATACATTTAGTATTAATAGTGGTAATTGAGTGAACTTTTAATTTAAATTTTAGTTCACCATAATTTCAAAACGACTCTTACCTGCCCTTATCATCTGTCGGCTGATTCATTATACGTGTCTTCACCACATCTGCCGGCGTGCCCATAATGGCAGCTACAAATCCAGCACATATGGAGGAAAGTACATGCACGGTATGACAATCGGGCATATTCAATTTGATCATAATCATATGCTTGATAGTGTCATATGTTGTGAGATCTCCAAGATTCACAAGTGCCGCACGCTGTACATTCGGAACGCTGCCTTTCCACAAACCAGCTACACCACCGCGGCGAACAATTTCTTTGAAAGCGTGTGCTGCGCCATGGACACGTGCCGGTTCGCCCATCAAACGACGTTTGCCTTCCATTTGAATTTGTACCTTAACTAAGTCGGCTGGTGAAGCTAACCATTGTGCAACTGCACCTGCCGATACACCACAAAGCGCCGACTTCCACAGCGGCAACGTAATTATGCCGTTTTCATCGTTACCCAATTTACGACGCAGAAAGTCATAGCTGCATATACGCACACCACTGTAATATACAAAATGTTATAAGGGGTTAATGCTAGGAATTTCTCTGAATAGAATCACATTATATTTACCTGTAAACGACGTGGCGATAAAGAGCTGGCGTGACACCTTGCCACAACTTCATTGTGCCCTCTTCTCTGACAATGCCGAACGCGGTCGCCAACATGCCACGATACTGCTTGGCACAATGACATCACCATAGAATCAGGAAGAGAGAAGGAGAGTAAGAGGAGTAGAATGAATGCACTACGCCCCAGTCGGCAATTAGAGGTAACGAACAGACTAATGAATAAAACATTGACTTACTTATGGTTATGGACGAATAATGGAAAAAAGGGTATGGAATGGACGAATTGTTAGGATGCAGGTTTTATTGAAACTAAATTACGAACACTTCCCTGAAGATATACTTATGCAACTTTAAATACATACATACATATGTATAAATAATAATTTTTACCGTTAAAACTTTCAAGTATAGAAATTTTGTGGAATTGCCGCTGGCAAGAGGATATTTATGCAATTGTTTTAATTATAAAATAAAACAAAAATTGCTTAACACTTGAGATAATAAATATGTATATAGTACATGCATGTCGATAAACCTTTGCTGTCACTTTTTTATAGTTACCTTTTGTTTAACGCCTAGGTCGGTTTTTAAGCTGTTAGCAGCTGCTTCGCCTTGTATTTGTAAACGAGTTTTGGTGAGATCCAGTGGATAAGTAGTTAGTTCTGCTACGGAAGCAGCAACAACGGATACTACATAAGTACAAGCAAATGAATCTGCATAATCATACTTGACGGGACGTAACTGATTTCTTGTTGCAGGTCCTGCCGGAGGCGCCGGTGGAGGCGACGATGGTTCGCCTGCCGAATTATTTTGTGTTTGACTTTGCATTATAAGGCTTTTAATATTAATTTTTTAGTCTTGATTTCTATAAGAAAGTAGTAATAATTCACTCATTATGTCGTTATACATGTTTTTAAGTTAGTTATATAATTTGTTATAACTAATAATGTTTTGTATTAGGTACTATATGAATATAATATGTATGCACATACATATATGTAAATACATAAGTATCTTAAAAAAAGCATAAAGTTGTCACTAAAGATACTGGAATATTTAACTTCTTAGTAAAAAAATAAATTTTTGAGAAATTCAAAATGAGCTGAATATTTATATGCATATATTAAATGCAATTCATACTAAAATAAAATAAAAAGTAAACAACATTTGAGAAGTTCAAAGTACACTTCATTTCATATACAAATAATAAAGACAAAGATATTTATCTAATTGCTTTTCCACAGCAATAACATGCCTTTCACAATCAATTTGAACAGGCCCCCTTTATTCCAATTTGAAATTTTTCCCTTATCATAGGTTGTTTGTTCCGCTTAACGGTTTAAATATAGCAAATTATATACAAAGAGGATATAATAAATTGGCACTGATTGTGTGATATTTTGCATGTGACCCGATCTGATCAAATATTTTGATTACGATTACGTCTTGTTGTACGTGTACATATGTTATTGAACGTACATACAAACTGTCCTTTTAAAGAGTTTCTGGTATTCAGGTTAAGTTAAAATTTGTATCGTTATCATTGCTGGTAGATAAGTATGCTAATTGATTAAGCATTTTTTTTAGTTATATTTAGCAACTTTCAATTACAATTTATCACAATCCCACTTTACATAATGAATCCCCTAAAGCAATCGAATCACAATCAGACACTTTAACTGGGTAGCCCCACTTTCTTGCAGATACTCGAATACCTTTCCACAGCGCAATGTATTTGATAATAAATGATTTGATAATAGATTTGATTCTTATCAATATTTCACTAACCTCTGTCAAAAAAGCAAAAAAAAAAAAGTTATAAAACAAAACTGAAAACAAAAGTCTGTTCGTCGCTACTCATGGCACAATACAATATACCGATACCTAACAAACATATGAAAACTACTTTTTAGACAAAACGTCAAAGGTAATAAAATAAAGGCGCAAAGCCAAAAGCTACTGCAATACGGATGGCAAAGTTATCCGTCACAACACAACGCGTAAAACCATGCGTCAAGAAATAAAATGACGTATAACATACACATTTCGTTAGTTATGTATAGTATGTATAAAATATTTATTTCGAATTTTAATATAATTTTTTTTTATCATTATCTTTGTAATGTAATAAGTACACTTTTTATACAGCTATATTTTGAAATGTAATAATACTTTTCAAGATTCATGTGCTGAACACATTACGACAGTTATTTAGACAGCTGCACGACTACATAACTGTGTCCATAAGAACGTGTGTATTCTAATATGTGACAGATGTCGCTTGAAGTCTGTCGCTCTCTTTGTGTTCAGCACATCAAGGATGGGATTTCGTTAACCCCTACAAGTGGGTCTACCTGAACGCAATGGGCAGTCTCAGCTTAGCGAACTGGGCATAAATTTCTTACATCTTTCCGTGAATTTCAAATCAAATACTTTTTCAGCTTTAGCTCCATGAACTTCACTTTTTATTATATTTCAAACTAAATAAGCATACTTATACCTATTGAGCGTGTAAAATAATTTGTTTGCATTGACTTATGTAGGTACTCGTACAATTGCATATATGTACATAAGCAAAAAAAAAACATATTTCAACATATATATACAGACGTAAATACATGAACGCCAATATATGCATATATGTATAAAATGTACCTATTTGTAAATATGTATGTTTAAACAGTACAATATTGTTCTTACTCTTCTATGGTATAATAAAATTTTTAAACCATTTCTAAATTTATTAGTACCAATGAATTTTTTTTAGATTTTTTGAAATACAAATAGTAAAAGAAATGTAAGTATACGCATTTATATGTATGTATATGTATAAGAATGGGGGGGAAAAAAGCAAAACTTAACGATCATTACAAAGAACATCGTTTAAAAATGTAAAACAAACAAATTGTATAGATATTATTTAAATAAACACTCTCCCGCACGCTGCATTCGCTCAATATACGCCTTTTCATTCCATATTTACTGATATCACAACATTAACTTGTGGACAACTTTCACTATTGGACGCATCTGTCGACATCAATAACTGTGACATGCGGTCACTAAGCTCAGCCTGCGAATCTGCCATGCCTGGCGGAACCATCCAAATGGGCTCTGTGCACAGAATATGAACATAAACATTAAAATTAATGTATGTATATAAGCAATATTAAATAGTTGTAGACTTAGATATATAAATTAGTATACTTTGATTACCTCCTACATTCCAACCATTGGGTGTGCATAGTCTCCACATAATCGCCGGTTGAGTTGGAGGAATATCAGCTAAAATATCACAAGTTTCTCCTGGCTTTAAAGCTGGCACTTCAATGCGCCGCTTTTGACTAGGTGCTGTTAAGTAGCATCCGTTTGGCCAGTCGATGGTACCATCGTTTTGTAGTCTAAACGCTTGTTGATGTTCACTTGGTCGAGACTGATTAAGTATTTTCATCGAAGGCAGCGTTTGAAAAGTATGAATGTCCAAATAGCAACCGACAGCTGTCTGCAAATTCCTTCAAAATAGCGAAACATATGAAACCTATGACTTTGTTTTGAATTTATTTTTATTTAACACTTACCAATTGCTCATTTCCAAATAGAATTTTGCCGCTTCTTGATCTACTTGATTATTCATAAGGCTTTGGAATTGTCTAACCAAATCCTCATGATCAGTTGTACCTAAACAGCTAAATTGTTGGAGTAGTAATGAGTCAATATCGACTTCATTACCTAAACGTTGCTGTTGCTGTAATAAATAGTGTTGTTGTTCTAAATCTTGCGGTTGTTGTTGCAGTTGGGGTATTAGAGGTGATTTCATTTGCGGTGGTGGTGGTAAAGGAATGGCTTGACCAGAAGACAAGAAAGGAGGCGAAGATGATGGATTTATCGTTGTTGGTTCAAATCCATTTGTAGCTGGTGCAGCAAATGGCACCGGCATGGGCGTAGCTGCAGGATTGATCATTTGTGCTTGAAAAGTAGGTTCACATTGCATTTGTAGCTGTTGATGTTGCTGTTGTAGATTATCAGATTGTTGCGGTTGTTGCTGTTGATGATCAAAGCTGTCGCTTATATCCATCTTTTTGACGTACTATTCTCAAGCTGTAAAAAGGTGAAGTAACAATCTTATCTATATAATTATTTAAAGACATATTATATTGAAGTATGTTTATTGTGAGTCGTGACTGATGAAATAGCATAAAAATATAGCAACCGATCAACCTACATATAACACCTTTGTCCTCTGTCCATCTCTTTGTCTGTCATTTACCTACCTTAAATGTATATATAGATACGTATATTGTGTGTTGTTTATTACCTCCTGAACTATAGGATTCTGATTATAAAACGGCGTTCTAATTAGACTTTCAAAAGACCAATACTCACTTTGTCTATGTAAGTTTTCGTTTATCACCGATAATTTTGTTAAATAATACAAAATATTTTCAAAGTAAATCTCGGAATTCTACTACAGATGCTGATAAACGCAATTAGTACAACAACAAAATAAACATAAAGAAGAAGTGAAAAGAATCACTCCAATGTCAAATTCCCAAATGGCCAAATGTACAGAGTTGCATTTTGTATTCTGAGATAGAAATAATGTGTTAACTTTTTAGGACTTTTGTTTTAGAAAATTATTTCACACTTTTTGTGTTTAATAAAAAATTAAAGAACAAGAGACTAATACTAGTTAATTGTACATCTATTGTTGGAAAGTAAATTTTTAGATAAAAATATGTATATGCAAATATTTATAATGTTTACGTTTCAGATAAAATAACTTGAAATATTGCTTTGTATTTTTTAGAAATATATATATGTATGAAAGTATTTTTTTATTTGTGTGAATAATAGCAGCGATTGTACAACCTTACGAACTTAAGTAGAATTATGTTATAAAACATGTTATCTGGTAACACCAATGGAACGTGTGGGACATAGAGAAATTAAATGTGGAAGGATAATAAGTGGAAAAAGAGGTTGAAATCGAAAATCAAATCAGTCCAAGTGAAAAAATTCCATAAGGCGAAAGCAAAAGTTGGTAAATAAGTTCTGATTGGATTAAAATGTGGTAGTGAAAACATTGACCGTGAAATTAAACCACTTGGATTGTTTCGAAATAAATATATATGAAAATATCTTGGCAAATCAAAGGTCGTGATTAATAAGTGTGCAAGTGACAACAACAAAATTAAGGTTACAATTGGTGCTTAATTAGGTTTCGAGAGATTCCCGAGACTTCGTTTCCAATTAAAAAAGTGACGAACTAGTGAGCAACCGAGCGCAAAGCTACATAGAGAAGGTGGGGATAGACAAATCAGACGTGTATTTAAATACATAAATATGTCGATATGTATTTAACACTGCCAGTATTTCAGAAGTTATCTCAAAGGAGTTAAAATAAAATCATAACACTAATAGAAATGTATGTATATAGTATGTTATAAAAATCTGTGGCATGGCATAGAAGTCAATTTTATTAAATTTTTAATACATGGGTTTTTTTTCTCTATGTAAGTCTGATTTCGGTACTTTGCGAGCGTTTAATGTTCTTCATTTATGTATATATGTATATGCATACATATACCATATTTTTGTAACATTACCAAACTGGTAATGGAAATACTATATGTGGAGACTGACACCCTCAAACAAGTGTCCTTAAAAATGTATACTAAACTATTTGCTTTATACATCATGTCGTATGTAATAGAAATAAAGCGCTCAGCGCTACCTCACTCCAGTTATAACTAACTATATAAAACCCTTCTTGCCACTTCCGCCTCTTGCGCTTTGTACTATAGTAACGCTGTATCAACATTCGGCTGCCGCCATAGTAGTTGCTAATGATACATCAATCTTGCGCTCTTTACAAGTTCTGCACCCATCTGGGATACATCTCTTTGTGGTCTGCTGTTCAACTCCATTATTTTGCGCGATTGTTGTTCGGTCGTTTGTCGCTTTATGTAACAAGTGTGTTGTTATGTTATATTATATTGTTATTACAATGTGTATTAAATCTTCTGTATTTAGTTAAATAATTAAAATTAAATGCATATGTATGTAGAATAAAAATATAAAACGAATAAAGTGGAAATTAAGACATGTAAAAAGCCGATAAACCCAAACAAATCTAGCTAATTTTAATATTAAATAATTAAAAGCAAATAATTTTTTATACGAATATATGAAATCTGACAAAATAACCTATTGTCAGGTATTTTGCGCAAGTGCTTATCGGTATGTTGAAAATTGTCGTATCAGTTTGAAATTTTTAAATAACAGTTAAAAAGTGCTTACACTTATGCACATTTCCATATCCTCAACTAAAAAATAAACAAATAACTGACGAGTTGATCTTTAAAAAATTATTTTTATAAGAAAACAAAATAAACAACACGTTTTTGAAAACGATAATGTAATATCAAAACTTGGAAATTATTAAGGAATATGTGCAAAGGTATGTATGTACATCAATGTATTTCTCTACAGTGTATATATGTATGTATTACAATAAAGGCTCCCTAAATTGGGTTCTGAGTTCATATGAAAACAATAGTTTATGTTAGTTAATTATAAAAAAAAAAAATTATTGCTATATAATAAGTAATTGCTAAATATATGTATACAGTTATTGTCGAAACAATAGAATAGTATTTTATATTAAAAAAATGAATACCTATAATATGCATATCGTATTAAGTGAAAATATTTTCTTCCAGACACTCATCACGATGACTAGTCCAGAGAATAGAATAATAAACCATGGTAAGTTAATGTATAACTATTAATGCGTTTTGTGAACTTAAGACCTAAGAGAAATTTACTTCCACTTACGTTGTTATGTTTCTTAAAGTAAATGGAATCCCTTTTCATTCCACAAAAATTTTCTATACCCGAATGAGGTAAAGACAAAATAGGTTATGGTCGTCTTGATATTAAAGAAAGCGAATAAATAATAATATACAATATATAGATACATATGTATGCTTCCTATCAATATCGGCCCTTGCATATCGCAAATGGAGTATGCTTTCGGGTAAAGAGTAATCTTGACATATTCATATTCTGAATACTGTAGAAAGTTAAATTTCTGTATAGCCAAATTCAATTCGAGCATAACACTCTAACAATTGACCTATCAACACGAAGCGTCGGATATGGAAAAAATATTTTACTAAGTGATAACAGAAGGCTTGATATATGTACATATGTATTTAGATGGTTATATGTATGTAACTATATAATTATACATATGTAAATATGTGCAGGAGTTCAAATGCATATACATACATATGTACATAAATATGTGTACATATTTAAAAAATAATATAAACAATATATGTATATATGCTGTTTGTGGAAACCAAATAGTTATCCAGTAAACACGCCAACTGTCAACAGTCCCTCCAGCATTGCTTTGTAAATATGTGATACCGTATATTCCTATTTACCTATATAGGTATCGACAAATGCTTATAATATATAGCTATACTATGTAGGTATATGTACATAAATAAGTTATGTATATGTAAATCCGCGCACAAACGGAGAAAAATAAATTTTATTGAATATAAAGCTGTAAGGGAATTAGAGAAATACTGAAGAAAACCCACGTTTATTGATTTTAGTTATTTTTAGAAATTACTTGCCTTCACAGCAGTTAATCACGAAATAAATATTCTGCAACTTTACGAAGCAAGAAATGAAAAATGAAAGGCAAGTCCTTTTCCATGCGCCGGGTAACTCCAACAGTTTCTATATACATATATGTATATGTACATACATATGTATGTATATCTATTTATGTATATATAATATTTGTTTATATACATAAATACATATGTATGTGTAACAAAGCTAATAGGAGGTCCTACCACCGTCTCGTTGCTGCACACTAGCACACCTGTTTAGGTGCGATGTCACTGCTTTTACCTTCGCATTGAAGGCTCCACGGTTAAAATATTCAATATGAAAGGGAGGAGTAAAAACGTAGTATGTGCATGCATAAGTGTACAATAAAAAGCCTCGACATTAGGTAAAATATTAGGATATTATAACAAGTAAACTGGAGGAAGGCGCCAATACAGCGCGGCAAGGTTAAATGAATTAAGGCAGGACAAGATAATGTCTATGTGGAAACATATAGATTTATATTAAATAAGGAAAGTCAAAGTTCGAATGGAATAATGTAAGGAATTTCAGTCAATTGGTGAATGTGGTGCATCTTATATAAAACTTATTTGTCCCAATCTATGTATATTGCTAATAACGCGATTATTGACTTCAAACTTTTCAAGTTACCGGAACTTTATAAGCTTAGACAATTGATTTAACGTACCTTCACAAAATGTATTCCAACCGAGTCAGAAAACAGTACCTAACTAGGTGACCACAGGTCCTAAATTTCGCAAAAAAATACTGGTAAAGTTTGAGCTGTTTATATTAATGTCAATAATTGGATTTTTGATTTCCCACATTTTTTTATTTTCTCTGGACTTTCTACAACTTTAATTCAATTATCATTTTAATGTAATATTTGATAATATGATAGCCTCGACAGACGATGGCACTAATTTGCATGAGAGGGCTTAATTTGCATTAACTTGCGCATTTGATCCATGTTGATGCACAAAAAATTCGTGCATTTAGCTGAATTTACCAAATTTGAGTAGACAACACTGCCCACAAATGGCCGATTTTTGCTATTGTGAGTGATGATTGATTAAAAGAGGAAGAAAAAAACGTAAATAGTAGATTTGAGGAAAGCATCAGAGGTAAGATATTTTTTATCGCTAAATATATTACGTACTAGTATATTAACAAAAACAAATTTTAATATTTTTAGATGGCAGGTAATAAACAACGCAAAGCTTGGATGAACCGCGACGAAAGTGTTTTGATTGATTTGTGGCGTGAACGAGCTGGAGATTTGCGACGTGTTAAGGGCAATTCGCAAATCTATGCTGATATATCCGTACAAATGGCACATAAATTTACACCAAAAGAAGTGCATGTTAAAATACGGAACCTTACACAAAAATATAGGTACATATCTACCCACAAAACCTTTTTAACATTATTAAATTTTGTTAAATTGTAGAGAGGAAAGGAAAAAAGTTGGGTCCTCGGGAGGCAGCCCATCGGGGTGGAAGCTTTTTGATGCAGTCCATCAAATAATCGAACTGGCGGCAGGCAATGTTACAGAAACCTGTGAATCGTTTACTGTGGTAAGCTGAACTTTACGCGTTTATTATTAAAATTATGTTTTCTTTTAAAAATATCGTATTCAACATTGCTGCCATTCCAGTCATCTATACCTACAGCATCACCAGTATCTGTAGTGCCGGTATCTGAACTGCTTTGTGCGCCATTAATGGCATCGACAAGCTCGGCATCACTGTCGCCACTGGATAGCTCAATATCAGCAGTTGGTACATCTAGAAAGAGGAATTATAAGGGTGAAATACTAAAAGTGGCAAAAGAGCAAAATGAATTGCTGAAAACGGTGGTAGAGGATGGGAAAAAATTAACTGAAAGAGTCGTTAATGCTATCGAACTACAAAGTAACAATACCAAAGAGTTCATAGACATAATGAAAATTCTATTAGAAAAAATTAAAAAAAAAACATAAAATTAAAAATAAATGTTATACTGTCAAATATTATGTATAATTATTTCTTCCTGTGGTTCCTATGTTTATGTACTTATAAAGTTTGATCTGAAAGTAATAAAAAAAAATATAAAGACATGTGTATGAAAATCAATGTAGTCAGAAATTTACCTGTGATCACAGCTTGCCAACAAAATAATCGAATACCATCTTTTATAATTGTAGTAATTATGGCTTCGCCTTTTTTGGGTTGCACTTCGATGTGGCAACCATCTAAGGCACCGAAGCAGTGCAATGTAATCCGCAAAATTATCACACAAGTGGGATACAGCGTCACATGTTGCTATTCATTTTCCCAATATTCTTAACTTTTCGCACTCTGTTTTTGAAGCCCTTCGTCTTTCTATCCAGACGAAGTTTTCCTTGAACCTTGATTCATCCATTGCAGGAATATCGTGCGCCCGAAATTTATCACTTCAGTCCTTAAAATACACAATTTTTGATTTCAAATCCAAATTACATTTAAGTTTTGCTTTTAACTTTACTCTATTATCTTTTAACGCATTTAATAATATACGAATTTTTTCATTAAATTTATATTGATCTTCCAAAAGTACCAAAATTGCCATTAAATATTTCTTTCTATCCATTTTTATTTAATTTTTTTTAATAAATAAACAAATTTCATAATCAGCTGTTTAATTCACAAGTTGGTCGTCTGTCACCATAAAATTTTAAAGTGCATTATCATTTCTTAATGCACATTAATTTTACTCGTCTGTCAAGGATATAATATTCCTAACAACAAGTTGCGCTAGGTCATAATCAATCAATTGCATATACTTTGTACTTTTTTTATAAATATTGCACCATTTTAATAGATAATTATTTAGTCTGGTCCGTTAGTACCAAAATTTGTAACAATAATAATCGCCGTTACTTGCAATTAGAGTGAATGATCCATAAAATACACTGTAGATACATAAGTAAAATATGTACACATGTAAATATTATTGTATGTAAGTACATATATAATGAAATGTATTTTAAATGTGGTTCTTCTTTCCTTAGCGTTTCTCGTATTTTGTTTTTGTTTCTATTTTCGTATATTGTAGTTTGTTTTTATTTTGCAAATAGCTTAGATACCCTGAAGAGCTGAGCTGAGCTGAGGAGTGAGTGCATCTCTACTGAAATATTAACCTCCCCCCACAAATACGCTGATAAACCCATACATCTCACTTGTTTATATATTACATATCTATATACATACGATACTATAGACATACATATATATGTCTTTTTTCATTTTGTTATTTTGTTGATATATCGGCTTGACGTTAAGTTGGCACGCCACCCACTCTTTATCTGCTCTCTTTCACCCAGTTTGTTTTGCAATAAAAATGTGTGTGCCTCTCGGAAATTCTCCACATTTGTGCTCTCTTTTAAATTTTGCGCTCCGAGTAAATGCTGTAATATAAAATACTTTGTATATAGATCTGTATGGCTATAGCTAAGTAAATACTTACTATATTTCTACATAAGTAATCACGTATATCACATTGTATATACTTTTGCATGTATGTATGTATGTGAATATACGACAGGGGTAGTGTTTTGCTTTTTGTTGTTTTAAATACTTGTTTCTGTTTCTAAATATACAATCCGCAGCTATGCACGATTTATAAACGAATCTAAAAATAGAACGGCAGGTCACGGCCTATTCAAACACCCAACGAGCTATGTACTTGCACATACATACATACGTACTTACATACATGCATAATTACGCAGATAAATACAAATATACTTACATAGTATATCGAATACTGCTTTTTTACATTTATTTGCTCTTCGACTTAATTCAATTTCACTTTGCACAGTCACAGACTGTAATGCTGATAAGTAAAATAGAAATAAATATTTATAATGTGAGAGCTAAAATTGTTCACTTACAGACGTGTTCGAAATAATAAGAACAACCAAAGTGAATATCGAAATCATTGAATAAAA